CTTGAAAGTTCTTCTCTTTGTAAGATTGTTTAGGTTAGGTTTTCCTTTCCTATCTTCCGCAACAATCTTTTGTTTTTCTGTGTGTATTAATTCTTGATATAAATCAATAAGAATTAAAAAGTTGAAAAAATCTGTGTAATTGTATTCAACCCCCCATTCTACAATTACTTTCTGTTTATTGCCTTACCCTTCGGGACTAACAGTAAATATGATTGAATAAGACAGAATTGGAATAATTGGACATGACAAGAGGGTAAGATCGGACGAGACTGGATTGGACAGAACAAATGTATGTCTGTGTTTGGTACGACTAGTACTGGACGAGACAGAACTAGACATGTTATCCCCAAAGTTATTTAATGATTTTAAATATTATATAATAGTTATAATTAACACAAATAAAACAAATTATTAAATAATTTAATTTATAATACTTCTACACAATTTTCATATAAATGAATACATACATATATAATGTTACCAGATTTGAATGAAAAATTTGATATAATTGATGGTAGTAGTGGTGGTGAGGTGGTTTTGGTTATGATAGAGGTGGTGGCAGCCGACGATAGTGGTGGTGGCAGCCGACGATAGTGGTGGTGGTGGTCGGTGGTCGACGGTCGTTATGGATGTAGAGGCAGTGGTGGTTGGTGGACGACAATGGTTATAGAGGATGTGAAGATGGTGGATTGTGGTGGTGGTGGCGGTTGACAATGGTGGAGGAGGTAGTTGTGGCTGATATAATGAAGATGGTGGTGGTTATGGTGGAGGTGAGGTGGCAGTGAACGGTGGTTGTGAAGGTCGTGAAGGAGGTTGTTACATTGGAGGAGGAGTTGGAGGTGGCCAATGATGGTGGTGGTGGTGGTCGGTGGCCGATGGTGGTTGTGGAAGTGGCAATAGATAGTGGTGGTCGATGATCGATGGTGGTTGTGGAGGTCATGGAGGAGGTTGTTGCGGTATAGGAGGAGTTGGAGGTGGCCAGCGATGGTAGTGTTGGTGGTAATAAGTGGTGGTGGTCGATGGCCATGGTGGTTGTAAAAGTGGCAATGGACGGTGGTAGTTGATGGTCGACGGTGGAGGAGGTTGTTGTAGTAGAGGAAGAGTTGGAGGTGGCGAACGACGATAGTGATGGTGGCAATGCACGGTGGTGGTCGGTAGTCGACTACGGTATAGGTGGCGATGGACAATGGTGGACGGTGGTTGTGGGGGGCGATAGAGGATGTTGTTGTAGTGGAAGAGGAAGTGGAGATGGAGGTGGCCGCCGATGACTGTTGGTGGCGACAGCGGCCGAAACTAGTGGTGATGACCATTAAAACAAATATTATATTAAGGTTCTATATCAAACTAAAGTAATTTAGTAATATTTTAGTTTATATCTCATTCTTGTCCCATATTCTTCCACCTATTTTGGTGGAACAAGAAAAAACCTCTTTTGTTCCATGTTGTCCCACTTTGTCCCTGTCTCATTTCACACCAAACGTGGGATAGTGAGTTCTTGTTCTGTTCCATGTTGCACCGAACATGAGACATTGAGTTTTGTCTCGTCCTATCCTATCCCGTCTCATGTACCAAATGCAACCCTAAATATTGACTGTCTGACTAGGTCAAGACCCCACTGTCCAAGCCATGGCTCCTGAATGCAATGTGGTAGAAGATCAAACTAAAACTATGATGAAAATTATCAGAAACATGTAACTTAAAACTCGTATAAACTATCAATTAAGATAAATGGTCACATTTTTGGAAGCTATTAGAAGTATTAGGAAAAACGGTTAATAGCTCAAACTTTTGACATTGAACTTGAATGTGAGTTTTATACGCTTAACATGACAACTTGAATCACTCATCATTCACAACCATACAAATTTTAATCGACTCAATCGAACTATGAATCATTTTCGTATTGGTAACTTTTTAACCGCTTTCTTCACTTGGTGGATTGTTCTTTTAAAATGCGAAGAAATTAACATGTATATAATAAAAATATATAAATTAAGCGCCTAAAGGGACGTTTGTTTCGCATAATGATCTTTGAAGAAATGGAATCTGTCAAAGAGATTTGAATCTGGAAGGAATTGGAATGAAATGTTATCAGGTTTGACCAAGTATTTGGTTGGCAGAAATAGAATGTAATATGTCTAAAGAATTGAAATATGTCTGCTTGGTTTGCAACATAATTGAAATGGAGTGATGAAAAAAAGACAAAAATACTCTTTCTTTGAATGGAAACCACATACACATCGAATGGAAAACAACATAAACATTAAAAACATAAATCGAACACATAAATTGAATGGAAATCGAATGGAAACCACATACACATCAAACACAAAAATCGAACAACATACACATCAAACACATAAATCAAATGGAAACAACATAAACATCAAAAACATAAATCGAACGGAAGTCTGATTCGTAATCGAATGGAAGTCTGATTCGTAATCGAAGAAGCTAAAAAGGAGTTATCGAATGGAAGCAATACAAAAAGCGACATAAATCCTAACTAGGTTTAATCGATTAACAATAATCGAATGGAAGCAGTACATGTTCATAATAGAAATCGATTAAATCAGTAAGCAATAATTGAATGGAAGCAGTACATGTTTGAGAAATCGAAACAAGTTCATAACAGAAATCGATTAAACCAGTAAGCAGTAAGCGAATGGAAGCAGTACAGGTTTGAGAAACCGAAGCAGGTTCATAACAGAAATCGATTAAATCAGTAATAGGTTTAATCGATTAACATAAATCGTAATTAGGTTTAATCGATTAACATAAATCGTAACAAGTTTAATCTTCAAGGAAGTCGTAACAGTTCATTCATGGAAATCGATTAACATAAATCGAAGAAAATAAAAGCACAAAGCAGAAAGCAGTAACAGGTTTGAGAAATTGACATGCAGAGTGTTCGATTGAGAAGAAGATGGAAGCAATGTTCGATCGAGTAGAAGATGGAAGCGGTGTTCATCGGTAGAAAGAATAGAGTGGAACAACCAAGGTTAAATCTAATGAGAGTATTTTTGTCATTTATACAATCTGTGATGGAATGGATTTTAATTCTATCACTTTCCCTAAGGAATGGTTAAATCCTTTGGAATCTTTGGAATTCAATTTAATTATATGAGTAACCAAACATTGGAATGTAATTTGGTCAACAGAATTGACCATTCCAATTCCATCAGATTCCGGCGGATTCCGACGAACCAAACGCCATAAGAGCATCTTCAACGAATTCTCTAAAACGACAAAAAATAGAAATTTTATTCTCTATTTTGTTTTAATAGATTCTTCAAAATGTTCTATAAAATATAGAAAGCAAGAAGAAAAGAAATCCAAGTTTAGATAATTCTCTAAAACTTAACTGAAGTTAAAGAAAAATTATTTCTTTATTTTCATAAAAATAAAATAATAATTTTAAAATACATTAAAATAATAAAATTATATAATATTTTAATAATATAATTAATCTTGAGATTTAGATTTAGTGAAATGAAATATATTTTTATTTATAGATTTTGGTTTTTAGTTACCAGGTGCTCCAAATACCGTTTAAGTTAAAACATAATGCCGGTGAATAGATCTTTAACGCTGTCCCGTTTAGACGGTGTGCTTTTGCCGTTAAGTTTTCCGCTAATCACCTTCCTCCAAACGACATAGTATTGTATCCATCAGGAAGCCCTAATAGGGCTTGAAACCCTAGATCGCTTATGCTCTATATATACCACCTACGACCAGTGGTAGAGCAAACCGACACGCATTCTCAATCCACCGGCCTCCGTCGATTCTTTCAGGCGCACCACCGTGACAGGCGGCCATATTCTCACTTCTCTATTCTATCAAGGTTTGCTACGTGTTAAGTATTTATTAAAATTTAGGGTTTTGAGCAGGTAGGGCTGTGATTATAAAGAGAGAGGACTCTAGCGGGTTCTCTACAGAGAATAGATGAAATTCATCGAGCTAGCTGCCGCCTCTTTGTAGTTCGGTACATAGATGGCACCAATGGCATATCACATAGCTCATTGAAAGCATAGAAATTCAAATTTCCCTTGCGATTTCGTTCTTTTTTCCTTCGTAAACTGCCCGCGATGACAGAGATCTCTAAAACTACACTTGATATGAGCCCTTTCATGTTCATATTCTTATTTAATTGCATTTGTTGTATTCATTTGTAGATAGAGAGGGATTTTCGTCTCTGGTTCTCTATTTATAAACGACGATGCGTATACGAAAAGCTTGATTTTTAGCTGTGTTAAGTTTATTTTATCAATCGAATTATCGATTGGTATTGAATTTTTCATTCTGTTGAAAATCAGGCAGCGGCCAGACAACCGTAGAGATGGTTTCCACAGGTGAACAGTTTTTTTCGATCTGTTTGTCTACTAAATTCTATCTCACATTATTAATAGACGTTTTCTTCGATTATAGTTTAAGATCTCTTCTTCCGTGTAGTTAACGACAGTATGTTTACGATATTCTCAATAGTTGCATTGCTTGGATTATAAATCATGGTAGATTGGGCATATATCTGGTTGATCTAGTGATTAGTCTCTATGAAAATGGATTTATCATGGAATTATGTTTTTTTTGAAAAATTGATTATACAGATCTCAAAATTATTGGGAGATCTCTAAACCTACAACTGATATGTGCACTTTCATCTTCATATTCTTATTTAATTGCATTTGTTGTATTAAATTGTAGATAGAGAGAGATTTTCATCTCTGGTTCTCTATCTATGAACGACGATGCGTATATGTAAAGCTTGATTTGAGCTGTGTGTAAGTTATTTTATCAATTGAAGTATTGATTGGTATTCAACTCGTCATTTTGCTTAAATTCAGGCAGCGGCCAGACAACCGTAGGGATGGTTTCCACAGATGAACGGTTATTCAATCTGTTTGTCTACTAAATTCTATCTCACATCATTATGTTAGGGTTTTTATTAATGGTGATTGTAGTTCAATGATGGAAAAAGCTCAAAAAACCCCAATGAATCATATTTTTTCAATTAAAAACCCATTAATCTCTTCTCATTTTGTACACAAATGGTCTCACTTCTCCTTGCCACTCATCGATGTTTTAAGTTGCATGTGGCACCCCGGGCTTATCTGATAAATGAATTTGATGAAGAATCAAGCCCCAATGCTCGTGCTAGATTAGATTTATTGCCGTCAAGTGTTGCAGTTCAGCCTTTTGTACCTTTTTCAATGGCGGTTTCTGTGTCAAATCGACGGCTACATCTCATCAAATATAGGTTTTAGTTTATATGTTTTCTGCCTCACCACACCTTAAGCTTTTTTCCTTATCAATTCATTGGAAAGAGGTCTAGTCATGGAGGCGAATAGTTAAGGCGGTGTTAACGTGGAGGTTTAAGCTTTTATATGCCGTTTTTTCCTCTAAAAACATCCGCTATATATCATGAAAATACTTGTATTTTTTATTGATTTATATATCTTGGCAATGACTTGTTTTTACAATGATGATTGAACACACAGCTTTAAGCCAGTTCTGCTTCAGAAAATTCATGACTGAAAGAGCTGTTGTTTACTCTGAGCATTTCATTGATTGAAATTCAGTTGATTTGTTTTCATTTTGAACGATGATTTTCTAAATCTCGAATGTGTTGATGATGAAATAATCCAATTGTATGAGATACGGTGAATCCGAGACCTTGTTTAACAGGGAGAACCACTTGGTTGAAGCTGTATTTCACTTGATATTACTGGATTTAACTGAGGCTTACATTCTTTAATTAGAAGGTTTTTTAAATGATTTGATATTTTTTATATTATTGAAGTGTTTATTTGTTGAGTTTAAACTATACTCTTGACCCTGAAATATGTATAACGGGTTTGGAGTCTGAAAAAACTCAAAAAGTAGTGTGTTGTCATCGAGCTTCTTCTTTCGTAACATTAACGAGACTGGAGTTAAAAAACAGCACAAGATTTATACTTGTATGATACAAGATGTCAAATCACGTGTTCTTTTTCATTTGTAAACACAGCATTACCCTTCTTTTACAAATAATGCCTCTTAAGACAAGAACTGTTACCATGATAGATTATAAACTCTTAACCGTTACTGCATACTACACCAAACTGCAGGGGATTCACCGATTCAGGACTAGATTCAATCCGAGTCTGTTGTAGTTGGTGGATGCAAGTGTGATATTGGAAAGGTAATCGCAATTCACAAATATGCGTGAGAAAGAACGTTTGTATGATTTTCTGATTAGGGGGCTGTCAAAACCTAGATTCTTTAGCTGTGGACCACTCCTCTTTGGAGCAGCCTATTACTTGGTCAGCCAAGATTGGTACTGCTCAAAGAATGGCTCCAAAAACTGCTATGATCCACAGGAAATCCCGACCGAATAAGATGAACAAAAAGGAAGCATTGCCACAAAACGTGACATGTAATTGATGAGTGTTTTGAAATCCTGGGATATTGAGGGTGATGGTTGGGTAAATATGCGATGCCAAAGCCATGAAAAAAGCCACAACGCAACAGTTGGTGCCCTTGGCACAAACGGTACCTTTTTCACTAATGAATAGTTCAATTCTCTAAGCTTTTGGGTCATTGATTCAGGTGCTAGTGGACACATTACACAGTGAAAAGTAACTGGAGACAACAAAGAAAACTAATGGGAGTCTCCTATTGAGAATACCAAACGGGTAATCCATTACCTGTTAAAAACATCGATGATTATCAAATGCACTTGACCAGTGTTGGATGTTTTGGCGTTCAACTGCAATTTATAATTCGTAAGCAGACTAACTTGTGACTATGTATGTCAAAAAAAACCAAAACCAATGGTGAAAGCAGAAGTCTAAATTTTGAGTCAGGTTTGAGGACTTCTAATCGGGGCCGGGTGGGGATTGTCATATTTAGGGATTTTATTGGGTACGGGGGGTGGGGATGTTGATACCTGCAAAGGGCAAGTTTATTTGTCCAAGACATTGTTAGTAATTGGCTAATTATGTTTGAGACAATTAGGGCCTTTTCCAGTTGAATTATCTTATTGGGTAAGAACAACAAAGACTGATAATCTTATTTTGTAAGAGGGGGAAGACAAGGGTTGTAACTAGATTTAGAAAAGGATGATGATTCTTACTTAGTAAACACTTACTAGATTTAGAATGTTTACTGACAATTCATTTTGATGATAAAAAATTTACATGATAAGTTCAGTTAATGTGTTGTCTCTTATTGGTAAGCAAATATTGGGTAAGTATTTGGTAAACGATATTTTAGATTTGCATGTTTAAAAAAACTGTAATTTACCATTAGTTGTAAAAAATAATATACTGTAACTTTTTGGTTTTGGGTATAACCAATGGTGAATGTGGGTTTTTTACCCTTAATAGTTTCCCCAACGAGGATTGAGATGAGAACAAAAGAAATATCAAACAAGGAAGACAAATTATCAGAACTCCAGCTTTATGGATGAATGATGATAATGAGCAAGTTGCAATTGATATTAAAGCGAAAGCTATCATTGTAATGTTATTACTTGATGATGTTGAATGTTGATCGCTCATCATAAATCTTGTTTATGCAAAAGATATGTTAAACACTCTCATTGTTCTATATGACGAGACTTCTGAAGTAAAACAAAAAAAAGGATCAGCCTCATCAGACAATACAAACTGTTTATGAATCTCTCACTAATGTATACAACAGGTTCAATTCTTTCCAAAATGATCTCAAAATGCATGACACAGTTTTTATAATGTTGAGATAATATGCAAATACATGGACTGTTTACTAAATTCTAAGGAAAATATAATTGTGTTTAAATTTTAAGAGTAGGGGTGTTCATGGGTTGGGTTGATCTGGTTGAACACAGTTGAACAACCCAATCCAATGTTTGCGGTTTGGAAAAATCTTAACTCAACCCAACCCAAACCAAAATGCAACCCAACCCGTACGGGTTGGTAGGATTAGTTGGGTTGATACTTTGGTATATTAAAATATTCTTCTACTCATAATTTCTTTTTCATCATCAACCATTTGATACAATTTATCTATAATTCTTACGTATATCACATTCAGTTAATTTTCTCAATTTACTTATATATGTTCACAGTTACTGAACATATATATGAATGAGTTATATAGAGATATGAATAGATTGAAAATATGTGTATATGAAAAACATGATAGTGTAATTGTATAATGTGTATACTAATAGAAATTCAACAATTATATTAAATTCAAGAAATAAAAGGATATCAGGTTCATCGGGTTGTGTTGGGTTCAATTAATAGTAACTCAATACATACGGTTTGAAAATTTTACAACTCGATTAGGCATCGGGTTGCTTCCGGTTGGGTTATTTCGTATTGGGTTGAGTTGGGTTGATCGGGTTAATCGGGTTGGTCGGGTTTTTTAGCACCCTTACTTTTGAGAATCTTATCATATGCCTCTTACTACCATATATGGAATTTTATATAACTATAAGCAAACTAAGGTACTCAAGAAGAATGTCTTTCAACAAACCAAAATTATGAACATTGCATTTGTCTAATCTGATTCAAAAAGATTAGGATTGGTGTCACATCTTGTATATGACCTAGATTCTAATTTTTTTGAGGTCCAACGGTGAATATGATAATGGGACCGATGGACTACCCATGCAAGACATTATTGACTCTATTTCTTTAGTTGCATTAAATTTTAATAAAGTTGTCAGGAAAAGTGTTTTTCATAGAAGATCAAAATGGAGATTTTTAAAAAGACCATCCTTTATCAACCAAAAGATAATGTTTTATGACAAGTCTGAGGATTAATGTTACAATTGTGGAAAGAAAGGTCATTTCATTGTTGATTGTAGATTCAAAAAGTCAAACTCTTCTTTTTTCTTCAAGAACTTCTCAAACCTCTCGATCCTCTAATAAAGGACCGAGAGATGACAAACAAGGAGAAAAGTGCAACAGTGAAAATCAAGAAATTTTCAAAGAAAAGAAAAAGGAAGGATGGCTGAACGTGACTGCGGATATTCATCCTCCTCTTCGTCTAAAAGTCTATGTTCAATGGCTCATCTTATCGAACTAGGTGCTTCAGAAAAAAGAACTACTACTGGCTTAACATTGTCTCCTAAAGGTGTTACAACAAAACTCTTTAATTTAGAAAATTAAGGACCAGGTCATACCTAAATATGATAATTGGACAATGGTTGTTCGAGACATATGATTGGTTATATTTCCCTACTTAAAGACTATGTGTTAGAAAATGGCATCAATTACATTCGGAGATAACTCTAAAAGGTCAACTCAAGAGTATGATGTTTTGACAAATGGGTCAATCACGTTCAAGAAAGTAGTTTATGTAGTATGACTTAGGCACAACCTTTTGAGCATAAGTAAACTACGTGACAAAGGTTTCTCAATGAAGTTTGTTGAAGAAAAATGCACCAGACTCCCATCTGACAACAAGGAAGTTCTATCAAGATTTCGTAAAAACATCGTCTATGTGATTGCCATGTCCTCTACATGTTTTACGTCTTTTCAAAATGTATTTTCTTCTATCTAAAGCCACATTTGAACTGAACTGATTATGGCATAAAAAGACTTTCTCACTTGAATGTCGAAACGATAATAATTTGTCTCTAAAAGGACTGGTGCACGGTCTTCCTTCTAATTCTTTCAAAAGAAAAATTATGTAGATCTTGTGAGAAAGGAAAACACTCAAAGTCTTGTTCAAATCAAAGAATTGCTCATCCATCACCTCACCTCTTCATCTCCTTTATATGGATCTATGTGGACTAGCCGTTATTTAGAGCTTAGGAGGAAAACGATAAATATTGGTCATTGTAGATGAATATTCTAGATATACGTAAGTATTTTTCTTCCAATCAAAAGTGATGCAACTGAAGAGATCATTAATTTCATTAGAAAAGTCGAAGTTCTAAATAATACTTTAATCCAATCCTTAAGAAGTGATAATGACACTGAATTCAAAAACTACTTCTAGACAACTTTTGTTCTAACAAGGAATTTCCCAGAACTTTTCAGCTGCCAGAATTCTACAACGAAATGGAGTTGTTGAAAAAAGAAACAGAACTCTGTGTGAGGTAGCTAGATCCATGATCAGTAAGGCATGTCTTCCAATTTACTTTCTGCTGAAGTTGTAAATATTGTATGCTTCACTTAAAACAGATCTAAAATTGTGAGAAGACATAAGAAGAATCCCTACAAGCTGTTTCATGCAAGGAAGCCACACATTAGTTTCTTTCATGTCTTCGGATATATCTGTTATATTCTGAATGATAAGGATCACCATGGAAAATTTGACCAAAAATCCGATGAAGGGGTTTTTGTCAGATACTCAATTGTCTCAAAAGCTTCCAGGGTCTATAACAAACGAAGAATGTATATTGATGAATTTATTCATGTTCACTTTGATGAATGTAATTCGGCGCCCTCCTTATCTATAAATATCTTCAATAAAGGTGAATTAAATGAATAAATTTCATCACATCTCATTGAATCATTTGAGAAAAATTCCCCAATAATGTATCAAAACTTTACCTCTAATCCTCCTCATGTTCCAGAATTTGAACAACCAAGTACCGCTACATGCACTGCTATTGTTCAAATAAAAAAAATGATATTCTGAATGGCGTCATAATTTCTTCATGAATTTCACCCTCATCCGAGATTACTTCTCCATCCTCCACAAATGTTTCATCGGATACTTCAGATCCCCCATCTTACTTCCTCTCCTTCTTGCCACAAAATGGACAAGAAGTCATGATAATATTGGCACCAAATGGATCTTTAGAAACAAGATAGATGAAGATGGCACGGTCATTAAAAATACGACAAGACTTGTAGCTCAAGGATATAGACAGGAAGAAGAGATTCACTATGATGAGATTTTTACTCTTGTGGCAAGACTTGAAGCCGTCAGAATCTTTATGGCATATGTTACCTACCAAGATTTCAAAG